TTTCAAGATCCATGAACAAAATGATTGAAAGTATTGAACACCCCCCCCCAACCCCCCGCAACTCCTTACTTGACTGAGTGCTGAAAACAGTTAACCTGATAGGAGACGATCTCTTTTCATCTAGCCAAGGTTCAGAAATGGCCTCTCAAGGACGGGAACTGGCCAGCCATTTCCAGAATGTGGGCACTCCAGTCATGATTGGTAAGGTGTTTTGGACATGTTGGGTTCTTTTGGCAGAGCGGAGAATAAGTAAAACTTATTTGTATAACGTTTTAATGTTACATAAAAACTAGTCATTTTAAATATCTTAAAATTGGGTCTGGGGAGATGGCTTTGTAGCCAAGAGTACTGGTGGCTTTTCTGGAAGACCTAGGTCCGATTACAAGTACCCACATGGTGGCTCCCAGACGCCTGTAGTTTTAGTTCAGGGAATCCAGTGCCTCTTCTGGTCTCTACAGGTAGTGCATCCACAGACATAGACGCAGACACATAAAATAAAAATGTAAACATTTCTATCCAAAGTATAGGAAAGTTGCAAAAAAGATTTAGTAACCAAAAACAAATGCTAAAGAGAAAATAACTGTTTTGTTTTTGTTTTTTAACATGAGCCAAGGATAGTATTTTTTAAAAGGTGATAGCCACTTGACTAAGCATCATGAGTCATGACTCTGTCGCTAGCTTGGCTGGTTTTATGGACAACAGACTACTTACCTTTTCTGGGTTTTCCTTGTAAAACAAGATTTGATTAACAGAGCTAAAGATACATGATTCTCTGAAAAACAATGGAAGATGAATGACACTAGTGAGTAAGAAATAGAGGTAGGTAGATGTCAGCAGAACATCACAGAGAACCTGCTGGGTGGATGGGCTAGGGATGCTCAGCAGAACATCACAGAGAACCTCCTGGGTGGATGGGCTAGGGATGCTCAGCAGATACAAAGCCATCAGCCCAGAGGGGTACCTCAGTGATCATTACTGCACTGAGAAAAGTTTGGGCTCTTGGTGGCCCTTTCTCAGTTGATTTTGGAGAATTTTATGGATATAGCAATGAAATATAAACTTTATATGATTATAGATATGGTTACAGCATTTCTTACATATTTCCATGCGTAACACGGTAGTTGTTAAATATATAATCTTATTCTTTCAAATATATTTGCCATCATGATCTTTTACGATATTGGACAGACTGTACTAATACTGTATTAAGTCAATTAATAGGCAAAACAATTAGTTTTTATTTGAACTAAATAAACAGTTGAAATTAATTTATGCCCTATGATGTATTTCTTTTTTTCTAGGGGGAGGAGTATTGGCTCACACAATACTAGGAGTCACATGGAATGAAACTACAGGGCAGATAAAATTTCTAATTCTAGACCCACATTATACAGGTGCGGAAGATCTGCAAGTTATCTTGGAAAAGGTAAATATCCATATCACATAAATTTAAGACACAAGGCAAAGAGCCAGAAATGAAAGACCACAGCCTGGCTGTTAACAAAGATAATAAGCCAAGGGCAATTGTCCTCACAGCAGTATTTCTAAGTCTGTTGTGCACTTGTATTCTATGCAGGGAAGACAGGAAAGATAACAGAAATCACAAAAGACAAAACGTTTATAAAGCTTTGCTATTACTAAACTTCATAATAGAACATGATAGACGCATTTCCTTTGCAGATTTTGTACCACATTGTCTCATCAATGTCTTAAAACAGGATAACAGAATAACCTTTTAGACTTTTAAAATCAGGACTGGAGAGTAACTGAGCAGTTAGGAGCTCTTGACCTTTCTTCTTGTAGAGAACCCAAGTTCAGTTCCCAGCACACACTTTATGTGGCTCACAACTACCTGTAACTCCAGCTCCAGGGTTCAACACCTTATGTACAGATCCACACACACCCTTAATACTTTTAGAATCCATGAATCAACAGATAAACAAAATGCCAGTCATATGAAGAAGTGACTACTTCTTATGTACATATAACATAATCATTCTATCAAGACCAAAAGTTGAGCGAATTTAGAAGTATTTATTGACATAGTATTGATTACATGGGGCATAAATCTAAATTGATTTATAAGCAGCTAATTCTCATATGAAAGGCTGGTGAGGTGGTTCAGCAGATAAAAAACACTTTCTACCAAACCTGACAACCTGAGTTTGATCCCTGGATCCCACATGGTAGACAAGCAACCCCTGCATGTTGTCCTCTGACCTCCACACACACAAATAAGTAAGGCGATATTTTAGATAATAGCAACATTTTCCCTTCCTAGCCAAGTGGTGACTCGTCTGGCATTTATTAGTACGCAATCGATGTCAGCCACAGTCCTAAGCATCTTCTAAGGAGCTCTCCGTCTACTGGGCAGGGAGAGGGCAGTCCAAAAGTACTCTCAGACAAGAAGTATGCAGGTTTAGGTTTAGAAGGCTGTGGAAGGACCCCTTAGATGAAGGGAAGAGAAAGCACAGCCTGTTCCCCAAACTGCACGAGCTCCATGAGCTTTATCCCAGTGAGGAGGGATCCAGGAGGACAGGCAGAGAAGCTGAGCCCCGGTTCAGGGTGTTTTGTTTTTCGAGATAGGGTTTCCCTGTGTAGTTTTGGTGCCTGTCCTGAGCTCACAGAGATCCGCCCGGCTCAGCCTCCCGAGTGCTGGAATTGAAGGCATGTGCCACCAGCACCTGGCTCCAGATTTTTATCTTGAAAGCAGGTAGAAAACTTAATTGTTTCCATCATGGGTGATATGGGAATATACGTGCTTCTTCTGGCTGATTACTGGGCTCTGCCCCTGCTGGGATTATCCTGCGGCAATTAGATAAAGGGAGCCTTCGTCCCTGATTACTGTCCCTGAGAACTTTGCCAGTCACATTTTTGTAGAAAGCCCTTTAACCCTCTGGTGCATACAGCAAACTGAGCCTGAGCCACCGTGGTCTCTTGACTGTGACTCCAGTAGGTCCGGAGCTGTACTGTGGGCACTCCGCCTCTGCTCACCTGACCATCCGGCCCCAGCTTGCTTTCTGCTGCTGAGATAACCAGCGCAACTGGGGAGGAAAGGGTTTATTTGGCTTACACTTACACAAGCTGATGTTGAGGGCTCAAGGCAGAACAGGAGGCAGACACTACCAGACTGAGGAGGATCTCTGTTTACTGGCTTGCTTCCCATGGCTTGCTCAGCTTGCTGTCTTACAGCACTCAGGATCACTCACCTAAAGGGTGGCACTGCCCACAGTGGGCTAGGCCCTCCTTCTCCAGTTAGCCATCAAGCAATGTCCCCACTAATGCCCACAGGCCAGATGACAGGCAGTTCCTCAGTTCACATTCCCTCTTCCCAGGTATGTCAAGTTGACAACCAAGATTAGCCATCACACTCCTCTGGAGCCTTCCTGTTTGACTTCCCAGCTTGGTCATCTGGAAGTACAGCCTCCATATCCATGCCTTTTTGGCATACGCTGCCTATTTCTCTATTTGTCTTTGAAAAAAAAGATCTGGTTACCAGAAGGCCTGTCTGTATGAGAGTATTCAAAAGGCCAACGCAGATAGTGTGCAATGTTTTGTCTATTTTGATCTTGTTTAAATTTTGACAATTAACAAGGGAGACAGGAAAAAAGAACATGTTCAGTGAACTCTCCCTCGTCCATAGTATAAAAGAGTTAATGCACTCTAGTCTATAGACTCCAGATCCCTGCCAGCCTCCAGCAGCTTCAGTCAGAGGAGTAACTCAGCTCTCAGCCAAAGTATTCCACATTGCTTTTGACCTCAATGTAATACAGGCCAGTCATCAGCTTCCTTTAACACAATCAGTCTGGGCGTGGTAACACACACACCTGTAATCCCAGCATGGGGGTAGGAGGTGTACTACTAGTTCAAGGGCCAGGCTAAACTGCATAGTAAGTTCCAAGCCATGTTGGGCTACAGTTTAAGACTCTTGTCTCGAAGAAAAAATGAGTGGACCCTCAAAGAAATTTGATAAAACTTTCTTATTTATAATAAAACCACTAAAAATTATTCTCTGCTGGAGGAAAGGATTAAACAGGAATGAAGACTGGAAGGAAGACAGCCTATGAAAATAAAAAATAAAAACAGAACTCAAGGGGCTGGCTTGGGTCTCACATTTCATTATGTCTAAGGTGTGTCACTGAATGGCACATATGTGTGCCCCTTTATAGACTACTACGTAAAACAGTTTACAATAAAGCTATTACAGCCACTGATACCTGTATCTTAGAACCAATGGAGTATGTCTGGACTAACAGTTGCTCTAAGGAAGTGATTTTTGTTTTGTTTCTGATGACTTCTAGAGCTAAGTATTATAGATTTTGTTGTTGTTCTGTTTAAAAATCTATCAGTTTACTTTGTATTTCTGTGATAAGCACCCTAAACAAAACAACTTGGAGAGGGAAGGGTTCATTTCATCTTACAGTCCAGACATCAGGACAAGAGCTGGAGGCTATGGAGGAATGCCACTCCCTGGCTCGCTCAGCTTGATTTTTCATAGGACCCAGGGCCACCTGCCCAGGGGTGGCACTGCCCACAGTGTACTGGGCCCTCCCACATCAATCATCAATAAAGACAATTCCCCACAGGCACATCTGACAGAGGCATTTTTCCAATTGAGGTTCATCTTCCCAATGATGGCAGCTTGTATCAAGTTGACAAAAAAAAGTTACCCTTCTTCACTAGAAAATCCGTGAATTAGATCAGTATCTGAGCCTTATGTCAGAGTTTCTATCATGGAGTCTTGTGTTATAAAATGTTTTCTTTCCCTTCTTCCAAATCTAGGGCTGGTGTGGATGGAAGAGCCCAGACTTTTGGAACAAGGATGCATACTATAACTTATGCCTTCCTCAACGACCGAATGCTGTTTAAATGCTATTTAAATTACCTTGGAATCAAGACTATAGATTTAAAAGAGCTGATCTAATGTCAATAAAAGCAAGCATAATTTTAAATTAAATCTTGGCTGTGATTTAATTTAAACTAATTTGTTTCAAAAGTAGTAAAGAATCCACAGAAATTTTTATTCCTTGAATATTCTTTTAACAAGTTAAATAACAAAGCATGCACAGGCAAAATACAGTCATGTAAATACATGTATTCATGAATGTTCTCTTCACTTAGAAGAAAGTTTTCCTCCTCAGGAGTTTATCCGTATGGTAAGCCACAGCCATGGCTTGTAGATCAGTCTGAAGTGAAGCCCTTCTTCAAACCTCTTCTTGCCCAACAAGATATCTGTTTTTGGGGAAAAAAAGAAAAACACGTTGACATTAAAAACATTTTTAAGGAGACTGGAGAAATGGCTGAGTGGTAAGAATATTTGCTGCATGATCATGAGTTTGGATCCCAGCACCCAAGCACACACCAGACATACTACAAATGCCTGCCTGGCTTGTACTTCCGGCTCTAAGGGATTCCATGCTCTCTCTGCTGGCCTCCACATGCACTCATTGAACACACACAGGCACATGAGTGCATTGATACACAAGCATGGAGACAATCTTTAAAAGAAAAAAAAAAAAACTTTTAAAAGAAGGAGGCCTCCCCAAATTTCCACCATATAGGATAAATTTTGGTCTCTAGAAGTTAGTAAGTAGTAACTATGACCAAGGGTTAAAACTTTAGAAAATAAAGTCTACTGAACCTCTGATCAGAGTGCTGATACTAAGTGCAACCAGAAACTCGATGCCAGAAGAGAAAGCTGGAAAGGAGGAAGCAAACAGCAGCTGGAAGGTACGTACCAACACTTCCTCTTCAAAGCTCTGTTCTCCACACCTGTTAAGCTTCGCTTCTGCCTGAGTACTGGAGCACAGGGATCACCCGATGATTTTGTTGTCTGCGTACATTTAATCGTTGTTAGAAACCTGGCACATTCTGGAAATCCACAGGACCAAGCAAGATCTTCAGCTGTTTGCCCATTCTTATTACATAAGCTGAAATTAGACAAAAGGTGAGTTAAGTGAAAATTATTATTTTTCTAACAGTGGAAATTGTAGCACATACCAACACTGGGTACAGAATAAATAAAAGACACTAACAGGAACTACAAGTCATCCACAGTACACATGCGTGCACACACACATGCATGCACGCACAGCGTGTTCACGCACATGGGAATGGGGGTTAAAGAAAAGCTTAAGGAAATTAAGTTTTGTTCACTGTTGTATACTCAGTGGCTAGCACATTCCACACACTATGGGCATTCCATTATGTATTTTTATTCCATTATCGTATTTCACTCTTGAAGGAATGTGAACGGCTACAAGAGCACTGGTGTTCAATATTCTCTATATTGAGTACCTAAATATAGTCAATGAGAACTTCTAGAGGAAGAGTCTTCCTAAGCTGAAAACTGCAGTGGAATCTGCCAAGAGGAAGGCTTGAACCTCTGAATGTTCAGGATCCATTTCCACTTACTCGATTTGGTAATACTAGATAACACCACTGAAAGGATAACATCAACCAGTTGGGCAAGCATTATTTTTGAGATCATGTATAATTCGGCTTCAGGAGTATGATTAGTTTAATCCGAGAAAACAAAGCCCGCAGCCACTGATTTTATACTCACCCAATCTGGGCATCACTGGCCACGAGGAGGCTAAGGCATTCCAGGCTTCCAACTTTCGCTGCCTTGTGGAGTGGCGTTTCTCCCAAAACATCCTTTAGGACAAGACAGCACATTAGTGTCTCCCCAACACTCTATGAAAGCCAGTGGGCAATCAAATATTAGCTATTTGATTAAAGTTCTCTCATTGTGCTAATGCAGAGTTTCCATCAATACACACAGCAGCCACTTTCAGATACATTAAAACTGAAGGGAATGCCAGCAAACGAGAGTTCTACAGAAGCCAAAGGTTGACAATTAAAAATTTCATCACACTCTAATGAAAACTACTGGAAGAAGTGATGCTGGGCTTGGCTCCCACGTATTACTTCCTGGTCAACTGAGCTTGGACAAACAGCAAGTATTTTTAAAAGTTACTGTAGATGTATACTACATAGCGTGATAGCCAGTGGCCACCTACTGCTAAAGAGCATTTGAAATGTGGCTAAACTGAATTGAGCTATGCTGTAAGAGTAAAATACACACTGGATTGTGAAATACGGAATGAGAGCAAAAATAAACTAGCCCATCAATCATTACTGATATAATTACATACTGAAACAGAATTTGATTAAATTATTAAAATAAACCTCATGGCTTGTTTTTGCTTTATTAATGTGGATAGTCAAGTTTCAAGTTACCATATTGATTGTATACACACACACACATACACACTGGAAATTCTTACATGCTTGTTTATACCAACTGAAACTGGCAGCCAAGTGCAGACTTTGGGTAGAGGGGAGGCTTGTACATAGCAACAATAGGTTACCTAGTTACCTGTTGGTTGAGGTCAGCGCCTGTTTGCAGCTGCCAGAGAAGAAAACAAGCAAGGCCGCCACCTGCAGCTAGGTGAACAGGCGACTGCTCCTGGGGATCCGGGGGTGCGTTGACTGACGCTCCCGTCTCCAGCAAATTCTTGAGGCCATCATCCTGCAGGAAGAGAACAGACTGTCACTGTCCTGCCTGAGCCTGCGCTGAGCTGAAAATCCACCCCCGCCACGGAAAAAAAAAAAAAAAGAAAAAGAAAACAAATATTTGATTTGGGAAACCAGCGGTCAGTCAACTGTCACCCTTTCGAGAGCTCCGAAAACGGACCTCTTGCAAGACAGCCTGCAGGACTTAAAGGGGGCGGGAGTCTCACCTCCAGGTTGCAATTAAGCAACAGCATCGCCCACCTAAAGCAGATGACAGGAGTCCCCGGGAGTGCGGAGAAGCTACACGGGCTGCACACTGGCAGGTAAGAGTGCACGGGACTACCCCCAACGTGCGGGAGGAACTTAAAGCTCTCCGGGGACTAGCAGGGCGGCTCCTCCCCGCCGCTCCCTAGCCCGGGAGCGCCCCCACGGTCTGTTTCTCCACCGCGCCCTTTTTCCCAGCCCTGCGGCGGCCTCACGTACCCAAACACAGACGCGTGCAGCGAGGAGCCCGGGAGCTGGGGTGGGTGGAGGGGGGAGGAGCCTTCTGCGCGGCCCCGCCATCTGATTGGCCAGTTCGAGGGCCCCCTGGCTCCGCCCCCTTCAGAGCGAAGCCCCGGCGGCCCTGGCACGCGTGCGCAGTGAAGGCAATGGGCGGGGAGGGCGGGAGGCTTCGCTGCTGCCCCGGGGGCGGCGGCCGCGCTGCGTGCAGAGCTCCGCACGTAGCACCGGGTGGCGCCGAGCCGGGTCAGCCCTCTGGAGGGGCGGAAGTCGCCGGGGCAGGGTTTCGTGTCTGCGAACGAGCACGTAGGCCGGAAAGGAGGGAAGCCGAGCCGAGCGGCTCTCCCCGGTATCCCACCCCACCCCAGCCCCCCTCATCCCATCCCGGGCCTCGGCCTCCAGCTGGGCCGGAAGGAAGGAAGCTGAGGCAGGGGACTGGCTGGGCTGCAGCGGCGTTGGGGGGGTGGGGGCGCGCCGACGTGACCCCGACGGAGGGGGTGACCCTAGGGGAACGTCCTCCCAAATTCTCAGCCCGCGCTGCCAGGATTGTGAGACCCCAGGCAGGTCCTGTGAAATAAGCCACCCATTGTCACGCGTCCTGGAAAGAGCTGGTAACTACAAGGAGGTTTGCCAAGACGAAGGAGGGGGGTCATGTGATGGCCCTCGCTGTGGTTATTGGGAACACGGGAAGGGAAACAGAGGAGAAAGCAGCCAAATACTATTTAGGCCAGGTCATTGTTGACCTCCGCGATCTGTTGACAGCATGAAGCCCTGCGCTGTGGCATGAGAAGGTCTCCCATCCACCAAAACCCAGAACTCAGACGGAAACATCAGATAAGCCGAAATCAAAAGGACACTTGGCAGGATACTTGGCCAGTACTACTCAAAGCAGTCAGGGTCATGATAAATCAGGAAGGGCTGAGAAACAGGCCAGAGGAAACGCAGTAATAATTTAGGATGAGATTCTAAAACAAAAAATGGCATCACTGGTAGAATTCATGACAATCTAATAACCCTAATGTTTGAAATCCTGGTGATGTACCAATGTAGACTTTCTGATTGTGGTAAAAGTAATATTAACAATGGGGGGGGGGGCGTGGCATACAGATAAGATACTTATGGTAAGCCTCAAATAAAATGTATAATTTAAAACATTTTATGTTGTTTCTTTCTGTAAGCCCTAGCTTTTAAGGGAGGTTTATTAAATATTTAGTTTGCTGTTCAATAGTATTCTGTCTCAATAGTTGTTACAGAAGACAACTGAACCAGTATGAAGCTAGTTTTAAAGAACATGTTTATCACAATTAATCACAGATCTCCCAACTAGCTACAGTTTTCAACCATTTAGTTTCACTAACCAAAATATTTCTTCGATAAGACACACTGCCCATTGTGGCGATCATTTGACAGGCTTAGACTGTTCCCTAGAACAGGGCTTCTTAAACCTTTTTCCACTCGTGACCCCTAAAGAGGCAAGGGCCTGAGAAAATTATGTTTTGATCCCAATTGCCTAAGTGTATAAAACAGGTACAAATCAAACTTTTTTCTGATAATAAATCTTAAATTTATTTTAACACAATTCTTTCATATGTGTATAATTTTACAATTTATAAGGTTGTGATGCAATTTGCATACGAACAAGATGAATATGCTTCCTTATTTTTACATAAAAGAAATAGGCTAGTATTTGATATTAAAGAACATAGAGCAACTTCAGCCTTTTTTCAGAATAGGTGAAAATAAATAAACTGTAAAAGATGAAAAGGACCTGGAGAGAATATCTGAATTGGTAAAGTACTTGCTGAATTCAATCTCCAGCTCCCACATTAAAAACAAAACAAACAAATACAGCTACCTGTACCCGTAATTCCAGAGCCATAGGGGTGAATCCCTGAGACTTGCAGACCCTGTCTCAAAAAATATGTATATGTGGTTATCTAAGAACCTAGCCTATAGAAAAATAACAGTGGCAAGTTCTACCTTAGAGCCTATGACTTCCTCATCCAGGATTATAGAAGCCTCTTCTAAGGAACAGGCATCAAATCCTAACATGGCAGGAGACAAAGAATTGTGTTTGTTTTTTGTTGTTGTTGTTTTGTTTTGTTTTGTTTTCAAGCCAGGACTTCTCTGTGTAGCTTTGCACCTTTCCTGGATCTCGCTCTGTAGACCAGGCTGGCCTCGAACTCATAGAGATCTACCTGGCTCTGCCTCCGGAGTGCTGGGATTAAAGTCATTCGCCACCACCGCCCAGCTGAATTGTTTTTTTAATGAGGTGCATTTTTAAAAATATTTGTGGGCTTTTCTGTCTTGTATTTGTTCCTATAGTTTTTGATCAGTCTTATGTTGTACATTTCCCTCATTTTTCTTGGAGGTAATAAAATTCAGATTTTTACAGAAAAAGTAGAAAGAAGAATCCTCATTTCATTTTTGATGTGGAAAAATATCACAGTAAGATAAAGACGTGTTGGAAAGAATTTTCTAGACTCCTTTAGAGTTTCTGCGTTCTATTTGTTATTCATTCAGGTTGACGAGAGATAGACAAGAATTTTACTAACTAGGTGACGAGAGACAGACAAGAATTTTACAGACTCAAGGTCCATACTAACTGAACCATGTCTACTAAAATTCAAGATAGGAAGGTAGGCTAGGTAGATACGGAGGAGGAGAAGGGAGGGGAGGGAAGAGAGAATGGCTGTCAATAAAATACACCTAAGATAAGATCCCTAGTGACCTATTTATTCCTCCTTTGGAACTTTCTCAAGGCTCTCAAATGGTTCCACCAGCTGACTGATAAGCATGAATCAGGGAAGGATATTTCAGACAGAAAGTGGGACAGACAGAAAGTAGGACAGTGAGAACAGGATCCCTTCCCTCCCGATTTCAAATAAAAGACCGCCTTCTCCTCTCAGAAGACAGCTCCTTTCTGTCTTGCTCTAAAATTGAAGTCTCTGACTTCCTCTGAGAAAGACACGCCATTTGCCAGAAGACGAGAGACAACTGGACTTACCTGTTACTCCAGAGCCAGCTCAGGACTTGGGGCAGGGACAGGCAGCCTTGTGGACCTCTAGCGATTGTTTTCTAAATAGTTGAGTGCCTCTGCTTGAGATGCTTCTCATAGTCACGAAGACAGCAAATCAATTAAAATTTTTTTTCTGCTTCAGATTCTTGTCACTTTTGTATGATTGTTTCTGTTCTGAACTGTTAGCACACTGGGAGGGTGAGGAACAATTTTCCATATAAAAGTTTTATTCCTGTACTTTACTACATGATCTCCAAAAGCAGTAAATTGTCTCTCTCCACCATGTACTCATAACTACAATGGCATGAGCTTTTCTGTACAAACATTTATATATATATATATATGAATTATAAGCATATCTATTATGATTTACCACTGGGTGTTGAATGAAATCCACTCAAGAAAGGAGCTGATAATATGTGAGGCCCTAGGTTTAATCCCTGATATTAAAAAGGCAAAAATAAGGGAGCTAAAAATAGAAAGCAAAGTTCCCCTGTGGGGCAGACAGACTCAAACTGCTTGAAGCCTGACTCAGTGGTTTGTGCTGCCTTATGCAACTAGAGTCCAACTGGAAATAGCCACTGGTGCCTCATCTCCATGGCCAGTTTTGGGATGGAAAGTAGTGTTATAAAACCTACGACCTCTGAATAGTGAGGCCCTTGAACTCTATTCAAATATGACCCAACTCAAATGGCCCTGGAGGCAAGGCCAGGTAACTTCTTCATAAAAAGGACTCCCTTTGAGGGACACAAGTCTCTCTCTGAGAACTGACCCACAGTCTTTCCATCTACAGTTAAAACTTTTCCATCACTTTTGTCTGGGTCTTTTGGTTGTGGGTCTTTTAAACTCACACCTTGGACACACCCAATACTGAACACACACAAAAGGACCTGGCAGCCAGCGCTGGCCAACAAAGGTTTCCAAACAGGAAATGGCTGGATGAAAGACAGGATGGACGAAGCATGCAAATCCTATTTTTGCAGTTGGTGTTAAGGTTTTGAATATGTCATCTTTCTTCATTGGTTTCAATGCTCACAGAATACAAGGTAAATTGGAGAAAAATAAAGGAAACGCTACTTGGTTCTCAGTGAATGCTACCATAACATAGCAGGTTATAATAGGCATATTACCTTTACTTCTACTTTTTCCTCCTCATTCAGAGAATGATGTAAACTTGTCACACTCAAAAGGAAGGGAGCAAGTACTTTCACTTTAAGTAAACAAATGGGCCTTCCTGGGAAGGAAAGAAAAGGAGAATCATCACTGCTTGCTTCAATATTGTCTTGGCAATCATGAACATCTTGCCACAAATCATTGACAATGGTTTTCTCTTTCTCTCACATATGGATAGATTATGCTTTCGGTTGATATATGACTGTAACTAGCCTGTCTCATGGATACTGGCAGAAGACAAGACTCCTGGGTCAGAGTCAGATGACCCTACTGCTCACTGAAAACACAGCAGTTAGTGTTGATGGCATGATATTTGGACCAGTTCTACAGCCCACCCCGTCCCCCAGTTCTCACAGAGGTGTCTCAAAAGGCACAACCAACAGGGATGCTTGGTATACACAGAAGACTCATTATGAAAAGGGCATACTAACCTTGAGCAATTCAATGCCTGTGAGGAAAGCAAGCCTGCCCTTTGTCTGTGGGGACGCATTACTGTTGTAGAATATTATTTTAAGGTGTGTTACTTTTGTTTATGTTGCCTTTGTTTAACTCTGTGAAGCTGTGTTACTGTGCCTGTCTGAAACACCTGATGGTCTAATAAAGAGCTGAACGGCCAATAGTGAGGCAGGAGAAAGGATAGGTGGGGCTGCCAGGCAGAGAGACTATATAGAAGGAAAAATCTGGGAGGAAGAAAAAAGAGAGAGAGAGAGGAGCCAGAGAAGGAGGAGGACTCTAGGGTCCAGCCACCCAGCTACACAGCAAGCCACAGAGTAAGAAACAAAGAAAGGTATACAGGAATAGAAAAGGAAAAGCCCAGAGGCAAAAGGTAGAGGGGATAATTTTAAGTTAAGGAAAGCTGGATAGAAACAAGCCAAGCTAAGGCCGGGCATTCATAATTAAGAATAAACCTCCATGTGTGATTTATTTAGGAACTGGGTGGCGGGCCCCCCAAAAGAGTAAAACCCCCAACAACACATTACTTATCCTTGGAGGTTACTAACTGAAAACAGGCTCCCGAGAAAGGCTCAAGGAAGAACACATAGCGTCTCGAATTCTTCATACATTCAGCACCCTCCATGGATTGCCTCTCCCTGCCCCCATTCAGTTCTCTGTAGCCCTGGCTGTCCTGGAACTCACTCTGTAGACCAGGCTGGCCTCACACTCCAAGATTCGCCTGCTTCTGCCTCCTAAGTACTGGGGTTAAAGATGTGCGCCACCACAGCCTAGCTGGATTGCCTCTTTTAATAGGACAATGGTCTAAGTGGATTGTCTGCTGAATTCATGACTGGCTAGGGACAAATATTTAGGAAGGGGTGGTGTGAGCTGTTGTCAGCGTTCAGAGCAGCTGACTTCAAAGACATAGGGACACTCAGATCCTCATCTGAGAAGGGAATGTCATCTGCTTCACCCACTGTTCCTCACCAAGTCACAGGTTCTGGTTACAGAGTTATATCTGGTTATACTCAGTGGGTAAAATCACTTAGAGTGCCAAGACTTCAGCACCTGCGTTTAATTCCAGGAGCCACATGGTAGAAAGGGGATAACTGAGTCCTGCAGCCTGATCTCTGACTTATGAGCTCATGCATACACACACACACACACACACACACACACAC